TGGACCAGAAATAATCGTTTGATTAAACCGGATCACAATTCAATCTTTCTCAATAATAATCAGACTATATGGATAAATGTGGCACGTGAAGGATTGGATGGACGTTATACGTGTACGGCAGCAAATAAAGTTGGTCGAGCAAGTCGTGATTTTATCATCAAACTTAGCGGTACACTTTTTTTTCTAAATTATTATTGAAGCTTAAACTTGATTCAAGTTGAATTACTATTTTTTTTAATTTGGAAATTAGCTTTGAAACAATACAATGAATGACAATTTTAAGATTTTGAAGAGTTAATCATTTATTAATTTAGACAATAAATTTAGTTTTTTCTTTCTTTCATTTACATACAGATATTAGTAAGATTGCAATTATATTTTTTTAATGAGGGTATATTGATTATTTGAATTTGATAATTTAGTCTTATTTAGCCCCACCAATTCTTGATCGTAGTGGTATCCAGGAAATTGAGGTATTAGCAGGCGAATTTGTTATTCTAACTTGCAAAGTACTTAATGGTAGTGGAAAATTGACAACAAAATGGATTGTTGATGGACAAGAAGTAAAAAATGGACAAGTTAATCCAAATATTCTGGCATGTCTTTTTTTGTAAAAATTTAACAAAAGTAATAAATATTTTTAAGTGATTAAAAATATTTTTAAAATTAGAAGTTATAGTTGGAAGTTTATAAATTTTTACGCTCATATTTTAATTAGAAAATGAAGAATTATATTTGATGAGCATTAAATTTCTTTTTATAATGACTTATAACTATGCGAAATATCTCCAAATAATATTTACCATCATAAAAGGGAATAAACAATAAAAAAAAGGATATTAAAAAACATCTTGATCTGAAATTTAATTCATTTCAAAACATAAACTGATTAAAAGTCTATTTTTTTTCTCTTTTTTGAATTTATATTTGAAATATTTGTTTTTTTAGGTGGACGATCGACGAATTGAAATTCGAAATGCACGTTTAAGTGATTCGGGTAGCTATGTTTGTGTGGTACAAAATGAAGCAGGAGAAGCGAGGAAAACATATGAGCTTAGTGTACTTGGTTGGTATTATTAAAATTTTAACATCCAAATTTTGCCTTAATTTTTGATCTTGAAAACATCATCCATTCTATTGCATGTATGGAATTTTCAGGAGTATTTTTGAAATTTTAATTCATTAAAGATATAGCATTCAGTTATTTATTAAGTTATAAAACGTGAAATTTCAATAATATGAAACGGTAAGCATTAAAAAATGTGTTAAAGTGAAAAAGCATGGATGAGAAGTTATTGGAAGAATTTTGTGAATAAGATTAAAATAAACGTACAAGTTAAATTTTTCAAAGGCATTTTATTTTGAAATTATAATAAATAATTGAAAATAGCCGAAAGAAAGCTAATCAATTTGCCATATTCGATAACTGAAAATTATTTCTTTCTATCCTGTAATTTATTAGTTTAAAAAATTGATAAAATGCACACATTTATGTTATGTTTTTTTTTTTTTCAGAATTTTGAGAAAAAAATTTTTTTCTTCAAGTTTTCATTATTCCAGAGCCACCTCGTTTTTTGGATATGACCAATTTAAATCCATCAATCATTGTTGGTAGGCCATTATTGCTGGATTGTTCGGTAACCGGTACACCGAAACCAGTTGTCATCTGGACAAAGGTTACATTTTCAAAGAATTTGTCCTTTCAGATTCTCATGGAAATTTTTCTTTCTCGTACTTGAATGACCTTCGATAAAATCATTATTTGGAAAAAAAACTGAAATTTTTGCTAAAAATGTTCAAATCATGCATGGGGAAAAGTTATAGTTGACAGTTGGACATATCGATTGATTAGAGCGACCATTTCATTTTACATCTTTCTTAGAGTTTTGATTTTTTCTTTTTTTAGCATAAATATTTTTATGGGAGTTAGTTATAATGAAATAATCATTGCAAATAATGATAATAAGAAAAAACAGTATGCTAAAAAATTCATAAAAATGAGAAATGAAATTTCCAAATTAAAATTCTTATAATGGAATAATCATTAACCATAACTCTGATCATTATTGTCATCATCATTATCATTAGCATTATCACCATTTACCAGCAATATTACAATATAAGGCAGCAAATGGAAAATAGCAGTGAAAATAGTGTTAAATAAAATGTTGGTTGCAAAGAAAAACCACGACAAATACCGTAACGATTACATTTCTTTCCACCAGCACAGTTTAGGCCCACACGCCAAATAGGCCTATTATGAGTTGATGCTAAATTGAATCGACGATATGCATTTTGACAACGTCGTGATGCAGGTTTCTGCAACAGTATCAATTGAATTTAAAATTTTCAAGGAAATTTTTACTTTTTTCCTTTCCATATTGCTTTGACTATATTAGACTTTTTTTTTAAAAAAATATCTTCTGGAATGAAATAAATTTCAAATAATCTTAAATACACTTTAAAATTTAGATTAGTTTTTAGTTGTAATTTTTAGGTTGCAATAAATCGAATGAATTATAATTAATATAGTTAATTTCTTATTCAGAATAAAATAATATCATTGAATGATATTTCTTCAAATTATCAACCTATGGGTTTTTAATTTTTGCTAAATTTTATAATATTTGTGAAGTATTGCTTCACTATTTGATCTATTACATACTACAGCAAATCGCATAAATGCAAATTTCTGAGAATTGTTTTAAGTCAGATTATCTAATTATTAGTTTAAATTAAACAGTAAGTTGTAATTATTTCAAATATTACTTTAGAGTAGAAGCGAATATTTACATTTCAATGCAACTTTAACAGAGAATGTTCCCGCTGATGAATTTGTTGAAAGTGCATTTATCAGACATAAATTTTGCTTAGATAATGGAAATTGAAATATAAATGTAATATGTGCTATATGGCTATTTCTCAGTGTTAAATCATCAACAAAAAAAAAGAAAAAATGTATAAATTATAGAGCAAAATATACGATTTATATTTCATTTCATTTCAAGATTAAATTTAAAATTGTCAATAATAACTGTAAGAAGTAAATTTTTAAAATTTTTTTCCATTCTCTTTTCCTTTTTTGTTTTATAGTTTTAAGTCAATTCAAGATTTTTATTTTTCTTTTTTAATGACAAAAAAAAAAGAATGATGAGGAAATAGTCTTTGATTTAAAAATCTTACCACATTAAAGTCATAGCAACAAAGTTGACAGCGATCATCAGAGGCAAATCCTGTATCGGGATCAATCAATGGACAATCGCAAACCATTAAATGTGGACTAATTCGAGCACACGGATTTTCACAAATATCATCTACACATATTTTTTCCATCCTAAGCTTTTCAAGTTTACGCATGCGATAACATTTAAATAACATTTTAAATTTGAAAATAAAATCTTCAAGGAGGGAAAGGGATGTTATTCAGCACTTTAATAGGTATTTTTTCTCAGATCTCTAAATTTCATATCAATTATTGAATTTTTATTGTCATCAATCAAAGTAGTGATTTTTTTCCCTTTGTGCTAGATTAAAATATGATATTTACGACTAATTTCAACAAAAAGATAGTTTATAAAAAGCAATTTAAATTTGTATTTTGACAATTTATATACTTATCCGGTTGAATTTACATTCTTTTAATTTTCACATATGTATGAAACTGCTTTTTGCTAAATATGAAATGTTAATGAAGAAGGCTAATGCTAACTTTCGATCGCAATATTGTCCGGGTTTTTTATCATGACATACACTATTTGAGCATTTGCCTTGAAGGCACAAACGAGCTGGATCCGTATCATCACATGCTAAACCTTCCAGCTCTGCACCATTTTGACGGCAAAGTGCGCAAGCTTCACGTTCCCATCTTTCTCCATTATCCCTAAACAAATTTAATTTGCTTTTTTTTTTTATTTTAAAAACAAAAAGAAATATTATTCAGAATGAAAGAACGCATTTTATTTCATCTTTTTTCTCTCGGTAGATATGCAAGAATGGATTGATTGAAATAATGTTAAATTCACATAAAAAATGCTTTTTTTTAATGCCTAAAATTTTTCACCTTTTATTTTTTTCATAATTTTTATTTCGAAATTAAATATATGATTTTTAATGCTTCTTTGTCTTTTCTCTTTGTTTGTCTCCCTCCCTCTCTCCTTCTCTCCCCCTTAAGAAAATTTATGTTATTTCTTAAAATTTTAGTATATCTGAATAAGTCTTTCTTGTACCATTCGAACAAAAAAATGCACTTTTTGTTTGTTCATTTTTTTCTTTTTCCTCTTTTTTTGGTGACAAATCAGCAGGTGGCAAGGGAATCAGTCTTTGGATGAATTCCTCATTGCAAGGACAACCAGAAAAAATGAAATCATTTTTTTTTCTCATTTCAAAATTTGAATTCAAAAAACAATTAAGAAAAGAATAACACTAAATGAGTCATTTTTTGATCAGAATAGCATTTTGTCTTATAAAAAAAATGCTTGAGTGGTAAAATTAAACATAAAATGTATGGATGGATATCTAAGTACAGTATAACACTTGTAGTATGGAATGAAATTTAAATTTAGTTTGTAACATTCAAATTGATCATTTCTTATTGGCGTTATCATTCATTGAAGTGAGGAAAATTTTAACAGAAAAAGATAACAAAAAGATTATTTATTTATTTTTTGTTTTTTGTTTTCAATTTCTAACGTGAAATTTTCGTCCGTCTATTTTTGATGATGAAAAAAGACGACGCTTTTTGAGAAACATTAATTTCGAGCATTATACTTTTCATACTTGTAAGGATCTTTTGGAAAAAAATTGGCAAAAATTTTTTCAATATGGATGAGATGACCGTTCAAAGAATTTGATAAATTTTAGATATACTCTATTAGAGAAGTAAAATATAAATATTTTCATAAATGTGATGGTAGAGTTTTTTATCGAAATATCTAGAAAATAGTCTGAAAAAAAATTCCGTGCAATTTTAAAAAACTGAAGATTTATAAGTTTAAATCTTCAATCTATCGAAAAGATTTAAAAATGAAATTATGAATTAAGCGTTAATAAATTTTTAAATGCTTCCCAGTTTTCTAGTAAAAATTATCGAGTAACTTTTTCATAAGCCATTATTTTCATTATAAAACTAGGCTAAATTACCTGTGCATTTAAACTAGTATGCATTTATCAAAGAATTAACAAAATTACAATACCTAAGGATATTATATTGATGTGCGGGCATACATCGGGAGTTTGAATTTCCGCAACACAAATAGCAGTAATTATCCTCTTCCACATCACATTCGCATTGTTTCATACCACGAGTTGAGCATACCGATACACAGCTAAAATTTCAACTTCAGTTTAATTTACACCAAACTTCATTTAAATCAACTCTATTTATTTTATTTGGCTTAAGAAAGAAAAAAAAACATTAACATATTAATTCTAACTAATCTAAAACAAGATCAAATCCTTCATTTCTCCAATTTTGTCTGTTTAATTTATTTCAAAAGTATTTCAAATTACTTCATCCATGCCAAACCGTAAAACACACGACACACACACACAAACACACACACACACACACACACACACACGTACATGCATACGTACAGAATAAATATTTTTAAAATATTTTAAATTCCTTATGCTAAATTAGAAAATTTAAAAAAGTATAATTTCATTTCTCTTTCTTCTCCCTTCACTTTTTTTGCTTTTAATGACAAACAAAATTTGAATGAAAAAGGAAGAAAATTATGCTTTTCAATCTTTTTTTTTCTTTTTTCTTTCATCCTTTTTTGCTGTTTAAAACTTTTGTTGAATGTTTGTAGAAGGATTGAAAATTTGATAAGATAATATGAATGAAAAATGAAATGGGAATGGTATAGCTGACATTTAAATATTGAGCATTAATGTGCTCATTTTAAAATATATCATGCAGACCGATCTATTCGTTGTCATTTTCAATATTCCCAATGGGATAAGAAGAGGAAGAGGAAAAGTTTCGGTAATGCTATCCTTTAAAATTTCGTTTAGAAAGCTTCTTTGATTCGACGGATTAGATGAATTCAACTCATTTCATATTCTTCTGTTTATTTATTTTTTAAATTGAGTTATAAAGTAGAAGAATCCTCAATAAAAAAGGATGTAGTAAAATTGACAGACAGCAATATTTTCTTTTACTTCTTCATTTTTTTTTTTGAAATTAAGAAAGTTGTTTACTCTTTAGTGATTAATTTTGAATGAAGAAATCCATGTGTAAAATTTGTTTTTCTTTTCTTGCAATAAACTTAACAGCAAAATTAATTAATTCATTTTATTTTGTTATGAATGAATGAATTAAAGCAGTTGAAAGTCTCTTAAATTTATTGCGGATATAAATACCAAATGGAATTAAAAACAAACTCAAAAGAGCAAACACGCAATTTAAGAAGGAGGAGGGAGGAGTTGTAGTGTAAACAATTAAAATTTAGATAGAATTAAAAGTTTTCTTAAAAAGTTTTAGTAATAAAATGTTTAAAATTGTTGGCTTTGTTTTAGTAAGAAAAAAAGAAACATAAATGTTTTTTTTTCTAAATTCAAAATATTTCTTATAGTAATAGGTTTCAGCAAATGCGATAATCATTAGCTATTTGAATTTAAAATGAAATAATCAATATAAACAAGAAGTATGCAAGAAAATTTAATTACATCAAACTAATCCTTAATGAAATTGTAATCTCTTACACATATTTTTGATGTATTTACAATTTAAACATATAAATAATAGGAATAATTTTCGAGATTTCATCTTCTATGCTCTATTTTCAAAATCCGATTTCAATTGTTTTACATGAAATATTGGAGAAAATTAAGCAGGCTTAATA